AAAGACAGAAAAGAAAAACCAAACCAAAAAAAAAAACTAAAATTTTTTTTTCTTAATTATTAGTGTGTGTATATATGTATGCGTGTGCTTATGGACACTCGTGGAAGTTAAGTTCGAAAAGTTACTTGTTTGCACCATGGGATCCAGAGGTCAGCCTCAGGTAGTGAGGCTCACCAAACTATTTATTACCCACTGAGCCACCTCTGCCCCGGCACTTCCCACCCTGGTCCTTCCCATCCCCTCATAACATTTCTGTTAAGGATTGCCCCAGAAACTCGGTTTACTCTCATATTGTCAAGCTTGCTATATACACGTGCTGGTAGTCAGCCTAACTTGCTGGCCTGGGTAGATCTTCGCTATCCTCTGCTCAGATCAGTGCTACTAGCCTACCCTCTGGCTATCCTTGAGTGCCACAGTACCAACAATGGCGTCTACTTCCTCCTCCAAACACCTCATCTCTTCTGCTGTTCCTTCTCTTCAGCTGCTCGTTCTTCTGTTTTTCTCACTACATTGCCCTGGACTCTCTTCATCACATACGCACGCATGCACACACGCTGTCCCTCTGTCCTGCCTTCTCAATAACCTGCCTTAACCAGAAGTTCCTTTATTTTACCCTGATTTCTGGCCGTCTGTTCCCTTAACGCCACTGTGCCTTTTGTTTGTTTGGGTACCCACCTCCTACCCCCAAGACAGGGTCTTTCTGTGTAGCCTTGGCTCTCTCTTGGCCTTCACTCTGCAGACCAGGCTGGCCTCGAACTCAGAGAGGTCTCCTGCCAAGTGCTAGGATTAAAGTTGTGAGCCGCCACCGCCTGGTTTGTTGATTTTTGAGACAGGATTTCTCTGTGTTACAACCCTGTTCTGGAGACCAGGCTAGCCTCATATTCTCAGAGATTCACCTCTCTCTATCTCCTGAGTGCTGGGGTTAAAGGCATTCGTCCCGGGCTTCCATTGTGCCTCTTTAATCTGCCCTCAAACACCCAGGTCATTTTCCTAAAGCAAATCTCATTTTACCATGGCTTCCTTGAAGGCCA